GCGCTCCGGCACCGCCGGGATCCCCGGGGCATCCTCCCGGGACCGCCGGGGCATCCTCCCGGCACCGCCGGGACATCCCGCCGGCACCGCCGGGACATCCTCCTGGCACCGTCGGGACCGCCGGACCCTCCTCCCACCCGGACGTTTTCCCTCCTGGTCGCCCGGCGGTTTGCAGCCCTTACAGCACCCGCAGACGCTTCCCTGGAAAGATTCACCCGCCAGTTGTTGCCAACTTGGAAATCTTTGCAAGGGCAGGAGCAATGTGTGAAGCTGCGTTCCAGCACGCAGAAACGTTGTGTTTCACCGCCGAGAAGCTGGGAAAGCTCCAAAGTGCAAAGAGCCTGAGAAGAGCATCCTTGGTTTGCTACCACCTTGCAGCCCATATGCTCATTGTTGGCAGCGCCGGCACGAGGGAGAGATAAATCAGGAATGTTCACGCCCAGGCTCCGCAAACGTGTCTGGGCACTCCGGGATGCTCGGGATGGGTCTGCCCGCCCCCTGCCCCCGGCGCTGCAGCTGGCACAAGGAAAACCTGAGTACAAACCCTTGTCCCACACTTGGCTGCTACACTGTCTCTCCCTACGTGGGAATTTTGGCATCACCTCAGTTTGAACTGAGGCAACTCAGGACATTTCGGCGTGGCACAGGAACTGCCCCGGCACACTGCAGAGGGAATAATGCACGTGGGAAAAGAAGAGGGATTGGGCATGCTGGGGGCGCAACTAGAGAGTAGCTCACCTTCAACCTGCTCAAAAAGACAGCTGAAAAAGCTGACCTGAACTCTCCTGGGTTTGGAGAGGTCCTGGTCACCCCCAGAGCTGACGGTGACATTCCCCAAGCACCTTCCCTGTCCCTGGGCTCCACTCTGACCTTCACTGCTTGTGGATTGTTTATGGTGTCTCTTACCAGGACACTCAGGCACCTCTTGTGGCTTCCCACTGTAAATACCAAGAGAACAAACTGATTTATTAATCCATTAATTAGATACAACACACTGATGGCTCACAGGCCCACAGTGGTTTGTTCCAACAAGTGCTGGGCTGCAGTGAGCCCGGGCTGGCCCTGGCCCTCCTCTCTGGGCACAGGCTGACAAGCGGTTGACGGAATGGCTAACGCTTCCGCTGAAACTTGAATCTGTAAATAGCTGGACCTGTTGTTGTCTCATTCTTCACCTTCACTTTGTGAGTTTTGTCCTGGAAAAAAGAACAAGAAGGAGGCATGCAAGAAGGAAAAGAGTCACCCCCCTATAAATCAGTCCCTGTCTGGGACTGACCATTACTGAAATACGGCCACTTTCCACTGCTGAGGTGGGAATTACCACTTTATCTGCTCTTTCCCCCTCCAGGCTGTCAGGCACAATGTGGTTTGCCCAAAAGCACAGCGAACAGGAGGAGTCCCATGGAGGCAAGTAACTCCTGTGGTCATTGGGACTTTTAAAATCTTCTCCTAACCTACAGAAATGGTTCCCTGCCTCTGACTGCTGAAGTGTTCATCTAGTGCTTGAGAGATGGTGACAGTATTTTGGAGAAGATTTGTGAGCACCATTTCACAGCTGAGTCTTTGTCCTTGCTGACAAGGTGAGACTTGGACTACCAGATATAATTTACTGGAATGCTTCATCTCCTTGCTTTTTCCATAGTAAAAGAGGATTACTTATCTTCAGGAGTTATCTGGAAGTGTTGCTTATAAAACCAGGATGAAGAAATGTGTCCATGCACCACCAGAGCTAATGACCAGAACAGGCTCAGAACCCGAAGCAAACCCCTCACCAGCAGATCCTTTCGTGTCTGGATCTTCTGTGTGACAACAAACATGGCCTTTTCTCTCTCAATGCGCTGCCTCAGGAGATCGTACTGGTTCTTCCTCTGCTGGGCTAATTTCTGGAGACAAAAAACAGCTGTTTTGAGACAGAGAAGAATATGGCTCTGGTCTAAATCCTCTGAATTTCAATGCTGAGCACAAGAGAACATTTAACTCCAGAATGAAAACCCACTTTATACAGAGGGGAAGAATAGAACAGACCAGAGACCTATTCCTGAAGTGCTCAGGATGCCTCTCAAAATGCAACTTGTTGGGTCACGTTTACCTAATGAGAGCTGATGGCTTTCCCAGCACAGAAATGGTATTAATGCAGGTGTGATTTAAGTAATTAAATTAAGGAGAACAATTCCCAACATGCTTAAAATATGACTCAGACATTTAGAGAAAACTTGTCAGTCTGTGACTTGTCTGACTGCTTTACTGACAAGCTAAACTGAGACAGCTGCAGGAAGGAAGGGACCACAGGGTGTTTGTTATCTGACATTTGAGTCAGAACAAACAGGTTACAGATTTACCAGTCAGCAGTTTGAGGCAACTTTACTTCGACCTTACATACACTGACTTGAGCTCAGAAGACTGTCCAGCAGAGCTGAACCACCTGAGCAGGACCTACAGCCTCAAAGCTGTGTACAGGCACTTCCAGCACAGAAGTGCTGTGATACTAAACCATCAGAATCAAAGCTGTTGCATAAGGAATTCATGCTGAAGAATCATGAAATAATTCAAATTAGGAATGCCAGGAAGTGAAACTTCAGCTTAAATGGCTTTAAGAAGAAAAGGGGAGAGTCAAATCTCAAACCACTTTTGACTCAAAACCAAACTGAAAAACACCCTAAGATCAGAAACCCAACAACAGATACATCTGTACTGGAATAAGATTCTTCAAATACCTATTCAGGGTTTAGGGGAGGTGTGAGGGGAGACTTAACTACAAAAAAATCACACTTAAAACTGCAGCAGTCTAGTGAAAACATAGTCCCATAGGTGTCTGATGTTTAATAGAGGAGAAATAATTTTGCAAGGACAGTGCCCAGTCAGATCCACACCACTCTGTTCTGGCTGTGCATCACAACTCGTGGTGTACGACCCAGAGGACTGGGATGCATCAGACAAGTTCTCCACGTCAGCCCAGGAGAAGAGCTGACTGCAGGCTCCAGGCACTTGGTGATTAAGTGACATCCACTACTGACTTGTGTCATCAATAAAAGTCCTAAGACAATGGAACAACTCTGCTCTCCTCCACAGTGGTGCAATGAAGCCTCTTTAGTGCTTGTTGTATAGAGATGTAAAACATGAAGAACCTTGAGGTGGGCAGGATCAGTAGCTCCCTTCAGTGTCTCTCTCCGCAGCGTTGCAATGGTCGGTCGGTTGTACACTCTACCCACAAGCTCGGGAACAGTGTCCAGGTGAGTGGCAATATCAAACTCCTGAACTGGAAATACGTAAAAGAGTTAGGAACAGACTCCCATTGACTCTGCTCAGCAAACCTTCCAAAGTGTTGCTAGGCTCAGCAACAGGAGCCCCAGCCCTGGCTCCTGCAGAGCTGCTGTCTCAGCTAGCAGCCAAAAGGGATTCCTGGAGCACCCGAGCTGTTACTCCTGAGCAAACCCTCACCCTCACCATGTCCCCCCACCTCGCCGTATCCCCCCACCTCACCATGTTCCCTCGCCGTGTCCCCCCACC